TTTCTTGGAAATTCAATAGTTTACGTTTAACTTTTAAGCTTACTATCTCCTTTAATCCATTACATTGCACAGATATCAGTATCAAGCAACATTTTATTATAAAAGTTCAGTAAATATAACGCAGTTCAAGAATATAATGCCACGATAAGATGTAGCCTAGGGAAAAAGAATTTTTTAATGAAAACTTTCGTTTAAAAAGAATGCAAAAAAATATAACCTGTCATTAAACCACAGTATCAAGGAGCTACGATGCTGCAACTAGTGGGAATATGCAATAAAGCCACTAGTCAAATACTATGAAGTAATTCGGTGGATGAAAGCTGGCACTGGAATTCAGATTGAGTTTGTTATGTTTTTTAGATTTGTCAGTTAGATGTACTTGCGATCCCCTGTGATTGGTGGATGATGTTCTCTCTGAGACTAGAACCCATTGTTTCAAACGTCAAAGCGTTATCTGCTAGACCGCTTGAGCCATGAGAACTACCTCTTGGGAAAACGTCATCAGTTATTAGTGGGCGTTTTTATTTAATTTTGGTGTTGAGTGATTGATCCAACCGAAATGTTTGGCCCTTATTGACATATCGGCACCTAGTACGGACGCTTCGACGATTCCCGAAGATTACCATACTGTTAAATAAAATACGGACAGAAACAGAACAAATTGGAGTAGCTGTGAACTGTATTGGTTACAAGTAAGATCGTTATTTTCGAGGTATGATTTTAGCACATACCAATATCGATCCAAAACTAGTACCAGTGTTGGTGAACATTGAAACAGCAATATATGGTTTGTTTTTTCGAACTGGTCTCCATTTGGTGGGAGACAACAATGACAGCCGTTGCCTAATTGTCTGCTAGTTGGCAGAATGCTGGAGGAAAACGTTCAGAAGTATAAGTGTGCTTTATATTAACGTTTATTCTTAGACTTGGCCTTTGTAACCGTGTTGTGCTAATTGATTGTCGGTGCAAAAATGAATGATTCCTATATTTTCAATCCGTTCTTCGATATATTTCCTAATCGATTATATTTCTGAGGTACCGATTAGTCTTCTGAAATCAGCACTAGATTCATGATCTTTTCCTATATTGACATTTGACAACTGTATATTCGCAAGGACTAAACCAAATACTCTTACACCTGGAGGCGAAATCAATAGCCTCCAAAGCTTGTGAATTCATTTAAATCGCTTAGTCTCCTTAGAATTGCAAAACTCTGTTTTATTCTCTCTCTCATATGATTACGCACTTTTCCGCTTTAACCAATCTCCCTTTGCTTCAATGCAACTTTGCTGGTCTCACGTTTCTATGACTTGAAATGAACTCACCCAACTGTTACTAAGTCTATTATTTACTCATAATCTTAATGACCTCTTATCTTTATTATGTAACTCTTTTGCCATTGCATCTAAGCCTTTATTTTTAGTTTGGGCTTGAACTTTCTGGGTATCAGCGATATGAGTGTAATTTCTAAGCACTGTTTATTAGTTTAGGATTTTCCCGTCTATTGACTGGACCGAATTGCTCGGTTTCGAAGGGAAAATTTAAAACTGAATTGAACAATTAATATGACCCATTGTACAAGAGGTGATTCTAGTGACCCAAGTGATCTAGTGGATAACGCTCTGATGTTTGAAACTATGTGCACTGGGTTCGAGCCTCGTGGTAACATCATCACTCACTGCGGAATGCAGGTACACTTAGCTGACGAGTTCTAAATAGGACGAAACACCCGTCCTGGATTCCATTGCTAGTCATCATTTACCAATCAACTGTTTATTAAGTTTATACTCCGCTGCCAACTGACATTTTTCAAGTGTGCTGAAATTGTTCTATGCATAAATCTAATAATTTCTTAGGGCTGTAAGCAGGTGATGAGAAGTTGATGACATAAATGATGTTATCTTTCATAACCCATTTTTCTTGCATCATTCAAATTTATAAAGGAGAATACAGGTATGAAAACTTTGTCCAGTGTTGTTCTTTGTATTGCAGTGAAAACAAGGTTTGTACTGTGTAGTAAATATATGAAGATTTCACAAAAATAACAAAATAAAATGCATGACACTTACTCAGTTGCATAAAACGAAAGTACATACTAATGATCAATCATATACATCCAAATATCCGAGTGACTTCCGAATTCGAATCTAATAAAAAACTCGGTTTCCTGGATATTTCAATGACTAAGAGAGACGACGGAACGGTTAAGCGATCTATATTTCGTAAACAGACATGGTGTGGACAATATCTTCATTCCACAAGTTTTATTTCTATCCAGTATAAACGTTCCCTAGTGAAATGTTTGTTTTCAAGGGCCCACGAAATATGCATGAGCGACACACTCTGTAATGGATGAGCTTCGACACATACATTCAGTTTTATTAGCTGAATGGTTATCCAGAAAACTTTATCAATTGTCACAGTAAGTATAGACCACATCTAGAAAAGACTGATTCTGTACTTTAAAAAACTATCTTTATTAACCTACCATTCAAGGGTGATCAAATTATTCAGTTGGCAAATCAAAGACTTCCCTCAGTCATCAAACGTACATTCTACACGGCATCTCTTTCCCTCACATCTTGAAAATTTTCGATCCATTTACCTATGATTAATGAACGAAATTATGTGGACTCTACTTCACACTGTATCTACAAGTTCATCTATAGTTGTGGTGACACTGACATAGGTAGAACCAATAGGATGTTCCAATGTCATCGAAAAGAACATGTTCCAAAATGGTTACTAAAACATAAAGAAAATCCCATCCCAGTTAGTCTCAATAGAAATTCATCATCATCCACCGGAAAGCACTTATTAATGTCAGGTCACAAAGTTCATATTAATGACAGCTTCACAATTATTTTATCAAATAACTCTAATTCAAGGTTACTGAAGGTGATGGGAGCACTTTGGATTAATCACATACATCCTAAACTATGTGTACAAAAAGCAATAGACTTCAACCTTCGCCTACCATGAACTATTTGACCTATTTAAATATGATTGGTCATCAGTATGTACTTTAGTTTTATGCAGCTGAGTCATGCATTTTATTTTATTATTATTGTTAACCATGTTAGTTGTGCGACTTAGGACTCTGCAATAACTGGCGAGGAATCATACTCCTGCCGACGCCAAGTAAAATCCTGAGTCGCATCATCCTGGAGAGAATAAAGGACGCACGGGATATAGAACTCCGACCAGAACAAGCTGGGTTCAGGAAAGGCAAATCATGTTCTGACCAAATTGCAACTCTACGCATCATCATCGAACAAAGCATGGAACGACAATCAAACCTCTACCTCAACTTTATAGACTTTGAGAAGGCCTTCGACAGCGTTGACTGCGAAGTAATTTGAAAACTACTCGAGTACTACAGCATACCCCAAATATTCATCAACCTTATTCAACAGCTGTACGAGAGCGGCACATGTCAAGTGATCCACAACGGAAAACTCAGCGAGGCTTTTGAAGTAAATACAGGAGTCAGACAAGGGTGCTTATTATCACCAATGATATTCCTAATTGTGGTGGACTGGATTATGCGTCAGACAGTGGGAAACGAGAAGACAGGGATATCCTGGACCGACGTGAAGAACCTAGAAGACCTGGATTTCGCGCGTAGATGATCTATGTTTGATGTCACACAAAATCGAAGACTTACAAGCGAAAACCGACAAACTGGTCGAAGAAGCAGCCAGAGAAGACAGGACTCCAGGTGAACATAGACAAAACGGAGGTTATGAAAATAACCAACCAACAACAACAACAGCAGCAGCAACATCCAGTGCCAATCACCATCAACGGGAGGGATTTGAAAGAGGTTACTTCATTCACTCATCTAGGGAGCATTGTCTCAACTACAGGAGGAACGGACGAGGATATCAAATCGAGAATCGGGAAGGCGAGAAACACATTCATCAACCTGAAACCAATCTGGAAATCTTCGTCACTCAACTCACCATCAACAACAAAATTCGGATTTTCAATACAAACGTCAAGTCAGTTCTTCTATACGGATCAGAAACTTGGCGGGTCACAAAGAGTATTTCCAACAGCCTGTTGCAGACCTTTATCAACAGCTGTCTTCGTTCTATACTGATGATCAGATGGCCGGAAAGAATCACCAACAAGAAACTATAGGAACAAACAAAACAAGAACCAATCGCCCAACAAATATGCAGGAGAAAGTGGAGATGGATTGAACACTCGCTGAGGAGGCCACTGGGTGACATCGCGCGTCAGGCCATAGCTCGAGTGGAACCCGAAAGGGAAGCGGCGAGTGGGACGTCCAAGGGTGACATGGAGGAGATCATGTGAAGAGGAGCTGAAACAGTATGGACTAACATGGATGCAAGTGAAAAGTACAGCAGAAGACAGAAGCAAGTGGAGGCGTGCAGTTGAAGTCCTATGTTCCACTAGGAACCCAAGGGAACAATAATAATAATAATGTTAGTTGTAAAGCAGTTGTAAAAAATAATACGAAATGACGGTATCATCTCTCGAAATTTGTCTTTTAAATACCTTATTCATATTCAGGTAAAGTTAAATTAATAAATTATTGTAGGTTGGTTTGTACGCCAACTGGAATGTACAGATTGGTTCTGGATGATCGCTTTCAATGTAAAGATGGCCAAAAAATTTGAAGAAGAAAAAAGAAGAAGCAGCATATGACTAGAAGTTCATAATAAACATTCATAAACATGATAATAATTATAATAATTTCAATAGCCTATCATATCTCTTGTCACTGTGAATCAACTGGATTCGTTGATCGTAATTTTTTATGTCTACACGTGACCTTGACAAGATACAAAACTGTTACAAAACTGTGTGTAGGCGAGCCGAAATTCACTATTATCAATGTTATCAAACAAATCATGTGTGGATTATTCAAATAAATAAACTCTTGTAAAAATGATTTCTTAGATTTTAAAAGTTTGCCAAAGAAACCAATTCTATTTATTCATGTAGTAATAATAATAATAATTAATATAATGCAAGGATTATCCTATTTTATATTACTGTTTATACTGGCCTTTCATAATCTATTCATTCAAACCTCCAAAATATCAGATTTTATTAAAACCTGTCGACAGCATAGTACACGACAGACACGACATCTTGATGCAGCGTCAGTGATGCTTATGAATCAAAACTCGAAACCTTGTTGTTTACCAAAAGTTTGGAGAGCACGTTTTCGTGTACAAACAGTGAAAGGTGGTCGTTACTTGAGTCGTCTTGATCATGGAGCGTTTCATATTAATCATAATAATGATGGTACAGTAAGCAATGCTTTATTAGTTGTCGGTAGACATATTTATTCAACAGATTTTTGTAGTATTAATAAAACGCTTAATTCTATGATTGTAAATCATCTCTGTCCAAATGATACAATACGTTGTTTGAATACACCATTTATTGGTGAACCAAGATGTATCACTGAAAAAGATGGTTATATGCTGAAAAGAACAAAACGACTGCATGAACGTGGACAAATAAAACAAATTTGGTATATTGATAAATTTAATGAAATATTTGGTAATGTTGAAAGACATTTATACTATGTACTACGTCAATCTGGATTGTGTAAATTATTACGTTATCAAATACAGTGGGGAAAGTATACAATGCCATGGAAAAATTGTCGATTATTTATAAAAAGGGAACAAACTTATACACCAATAAATGGAACATTTCAACAATATTTTAATCATTCTTTAATGAACGATCTGTTATTTTGTTAATTCTACTTTAATTAATATTATTACCTGTGAATAATAAATAATCAAGTATATACATTAATATTCTTACCAACGTTAGTGATATCCATGTCAATAAGAGAGTTAATTTTTATTTGAACAAAGGATCATCTATACAGAAGAAACATCTTGGTTGGTTAATGAAGATTTTATTTTGATGTATAAACTAACTGGGTGTTTATTTATTTATTTTTTAAAAGGTATATTTCATGTAATACAAGTTTGAATTGACCGCCCCTAAAAATGGTTTGTATTTAAACACTTTTGTAAAGTTATCAATTTTTTTTTGCTTTTCAAAATTTCCTTTGTAATAAAGTAAGTAAGTGATATTGAGATATTTATAAATGTGCTTGAAGGTTTTCATTAAGTAGTACATCGAATATTGATTGATTATTCAACATGTATATATGTATTAAAAGTCAATCTGAACGAAGAATATTCTTTTCAATAATTTCTCTTCAGGTTCTTACAATTATAAAATATAATATTTGTTGTCGTTACAATAAGGCCAGTTATGCGGCAGATACATTTTTTAACGTAGAATAACAGATTAGTTATGGGGTGTCAAAATAAACAGTCGTATTTGTGTGACAAACGTGCTAGGCTGAATTCGATTACAAAATATTGTAAAACGGGAGACAATGGTGATTAATCATAATAGATTTGTAGAGTGGGGGTAGGTGTCAGGTGAGTGGCTAGTACAAAATGGTCTGTGTTAAACAGGAGATAGTAAGACTGCAATGGGAGGTTCATAATGAGATAACGAATATGTGAAATGAAACAGGTGGAGGCATATATTGAGAAAAAGCTCGATCCTGTCACACTTGGTCGATACTGGGCATCATATCGATGTCAACACAGCTTTCAGGGTTATATACCGAATTCCGAAGTCGTTATCACGTACAGTTCGCTCACATCTCCCACACATAGCTGAAGCTGTTGCAATAAGATCGACTAAACCGGAACTTTGTATCCAAAAAGAACACGTCCAGACGCTGTTCCTACCGTGGCCAAACTTGGATTGATGATTCTTCTTCTCACCAAGAGTGCTCCTTCCCCTTAACCCTATGCCTTTTTTTCCTTTGCTTATTATTACAAATATTATTATTACAATTATTATTGTTATTAATATTATCATTATTCGTCATAATTTATGCCCTTCATGGAAACATTCTCTCAATATTATCGAATTTACCATTTATACTATCCGGCCTTATTATTAGTGATATTATCTCTTTTCTCAATATATGCCTCCACCTGTTTCATTTCACATATTCGTTATCTCATTATGAACCTCCCATTGCAGTCTTACTATTTCCTGTTTAACACAGACCATTTTTTACTAGCCACTCACCTGACACCTTTTATAACCTTGAACTGACTTGTCAAGTTTCCCACCCCACACTCCACAAATCTATTATGATTAATCACCATTGTCTCCCGTTTTACAATATTTTGTAATCGAATTCAGCCTAGCACGTTTGTCACACAAATACGACTGTTTATTTTGACACCCCATAACTAATCTGTTATTCTACGTTAAAAAATGTATCTGCCGCATAACTGGCCTTATTGTAACGACAACAAATATTATATTTTATAATTGTAAGAACCTGAAGAGAAATTATTGAAAAGAATATTCTTCGTCCAGATTGACTTTTAATTCATAATATGGGAATTTTCCACACTATCAAATGTATATATGTGGTGGAGAAGACATGTGACACCAGTGGATGAGCTGGGTGGTTTGATTGCGATGAAGACAACATCTTCAGATAATATGCATCCCATCTATTGTATGGTGAATACGTTCTGAAATGTATTATTATTTTCATTATTTCCTCGGGATTTCTAGTGGAATATAGGGCTTCCATAGGACATGCCCATTTCACTCTATTCACTACAGTACTTTTCAGTTGGCTCCACAACTGCCCATAAGCTTTCATTGCCTCCTCACACGATCTCTTCCATGTCATCCTTGAACTCACACCCAACTTGTCGTTTTTCACTTGAATTCTTCTCGTGGATATGCCTGGCTTATAGTATCACTCAATGATCTCTACAGCGTAATTCCACTCCATCTGCACTTTCCTAGAAATATCAGTTGGGCAGTAGGTTCTTTTCCAGAGTTGTTTGTTACTAATCATTTGTAGATGACCATCTGATCTTCAGTATGTAGTCAAGATGGCAGCTGTCGATAAAAGTGAGAAGCATGACAGAAATTTTTCTCACGCACCTAAGTGCACTGACGGCCTTGAAATTAGTCTTGAAAATCCGAATCTCATTCTTAATGCCGAGTACATTAGATTCCCAAATTGCCTTTAGAATGATGGAGGTCTGTTTTACTCTTCAGATCCTGGCTCTAAGGTTATCGTTCATGGAGACCGGTGACCTGGTATCTTTATTATGACTGTCTTTTCTACGTTCATTTCGAGTCCTGTCCTCGCTACCTGCCTCTGCTGTCAGCCTGTTAGTCTGCATCTGAGGATCCTCGACCTTATATGACATTAGACATAAATCATACGTGAGGCTTTAACAGTGTTTCCTTGTGTCAGTGTGTAACAAATGCTAGAAATCTGTTAGTTAACGAAGTTATTGCTATTGCAACAATATAAGATGACTGTCACACTAGTGTTTGGTAACAAAAGATGTATTTTGATTATATGCGATTTGTGAGGATTTCAGATTAACTTCAATTGTTAGATTTTTGTCGCGAGCCAACATCAGTTGGAATGGTTAATGGACAGCTGTTTGGCCCTATTATGAGACTCTCAAACAGTGTGCACCTACAACCCTGCAACGGATCGAACGCGAAACCTTCAGGTTACGAGAACATTCAGCCACTAAGGCTAACAAAATTCCAACTTTTATCAACTCATGATATATTGTTGCCCTGACTAGTGTATTCACTGGGCATTCACTCCACACTGACGTAGTGGACCATACTGCTGACGATATCCTATTTCAACTTCGGGAAATCCATCCAGTAGCTATCAGTGAGCGAGCGAATTATACTTCAGATCAGTTACAGGATTTCATCATGAGCTGACATTGGTTAGAGAACCACTGGAAAACCCAGGAGTACTTGACAGCGGTTTCGTCCTAGTTTGGGACTCTTCATCAGTACGTACCAACCATGGTTCGAACCCAGACCTGCTGGTTACAAGGCGAGCTGGTAGACCATTGAGCCACCGAAACCTGATCCAATGGCCCATGGCTTAATGGTCTACCAGAAGGTCCTGGGTTCGAACCATGGTTGGTGCGTACTGATGAAGAGTTCCAAACTAGGACGAAACAGCTGTCCAGTTCACCCAGGTTTTCCAGTGGTTCTCCAACCAATGTCAGCTCATGATGAAATCCTGTAACCAATCAAATCCCTACAAATCAACACTTGAGTATACTTCAGATCATTGGATTTGTGAGCATTTCGGATGAAATTCAGTTTTTGTAGTCATTGAGTTCCAGCCTGAAAAACTGAATAGTCGACAAGCTTGCTCCAGGAATCTGAAAGTTCCGCACTTTCAACGATTTCTCCAACGGATTTTGGTTCGTGATTAAAATCTACTAATTGATCAGCCCGAAAGTTCAAGAGGAGTAGCTTTCCCGTACCTTTCAGTTTTTAGAATTACTTCGACCAGACATATTCGTTATGACAACTTCTGTGGTCAGCAAATTTGTACCGTAGATTTATTACGTTAAATGAAACTAAAAATATTTTTGGCTAGAGACTGCACGTTAACAAACAAAATCTATTAAGCACAACTATTCACACACCTAGTATCACCTTTCATATTTATTAAACGTCTATAGAGCTTATATAGTATTATTTTCCAGTATCAAAGAAATAATTTTATTTTAGGACTTTTGCAAGTGTACCTGTTTTATCCTGGGTGTTTTGAGAATTTTAAAATGTATTAAAAATTAGTTAAAATTGATAAAACTTTATTTCCTACATATGACCATTGGATCCTGGTAGTTGAATGGTCAACTGGAATGCCTCTTAACCTAAAGGTCCTGCGTTCAGGTCCTGCTGGATGGCGTTATGGATATGCACTGCAAAAGATTTCGACAACAGGATGACACAGCTGTCCCATGTCCCCTGGTTTTCAGTGATTCCCTAATTGACTTTAGCCCATAGTTTTACCTTAAAGTAATCGATTCCCTGCAAACCAACACTTAGACGATAAGATTATCTTTGGCTTTCAAAGTGGGGAGTTTTTTTCTGACCTGGGAAATGTATTGCAGTAGTTATTAATGCCAGTGTTGATGGATGGCAAATTAAATCTTAATACGTCGGTGTGCAGTGGTAGAATGCTCGCCGACCATGCATGTGACCCCCAACCAACGCATTTCTTTACCTCACTAAGCCAGTAATAATGTAACAACAGAAGACAAGGGCCAGGCAACAGATCAGTTTTATTACGAAAACCAACAGGTATTTATATGTATTTTACGTACATTAATAAGGCTCTGCCCGCAGAAAGAAGGCGGTCTTCTGATTGGTTGATTGCAAACAAAACGCAGTCTTCTGCTTTCTCGTTTCCGATATTTCTCGGAAATGCGAGCCACTTGTCTGCGAATCATATTTGTCCACGTCTAGGTCAGCTGTGATCGGTTGTTGAATCAGCCCAGATTAATTTCCACCAATCAGCGCAGATCAATGTCTACCAATTGGCTAGCAGCTTGCTCTCACCACAATAAGACTGGTAAAGAGGAAAGGTTGGGCGTTAGGCTAGCAACCCCATCCCGTAAAAATAAACACCACTTTTACCGAAACTTCAAAGCTGTAGCTTGAAGCCCTATGTTCTACTGAGAACGTGAAGGAATACAAATAATTTCATACATTTATTCTTCTTAATGAATTTGAATAAAACAAGAATAACAGTTTTCGCAGAATAAAATGATACCATCATTAATTTCGTTGCTTTCTCATCAGCTGCTTATAGGCCAAATCAATCAACCAATATCTGCATACAGTTATTAAA